CTTGTCTTTCTTTCTTTCTTTTGCTTGTCTTTTCTATTTCTTTCCTTTTATTTTCTAGAACTTTTTCTTTTTTATTGATTCCACCTCCATTGATTCCACATCTATTGATTTCATTCCTATCAAAGTCGAAGCTGAGGCAATGTTAGGTGCTAAGGCAGGGGCTAGATATGTAGTAATAGATCGATTGTTTTGTGCAGCCTTCTTTAGCTCTGCTTTTTTGTGTCTTTGGGTTCTTTTAGAACCTCCAAAGTATATTGAAGGCCTACCTGAAGGTTTCCAGATATTTATATTTTTACCAGCCATTAATAAAACAGCAAAGTAATCGGAAGCCCTCCTATCAATATCCTTATCTGACCAAATATGGTCATCCAGATTTTTATAATCTGATATATTTGTAATATCGAATGTATGCTTACGCTTCTTGGATCTAGCAGCTTTAAGTTGCTGCTTTCTTTTGTTTGGACGGGTAATGATGGTGGTTGCGATAAAATGAATAAATTGGAGTCTAATTGTCCCAATCAAGATTTTGTGACCGGGATTGAATTTGTTTGAGATATGGATCGTTTTATTAATTATTAGATAATCCTAACGTCTTTTTTTTTTTTTTTAAATTTCCTTTTTTTTTTTTTTTTTTTTTTTTTTTTTTAATTTCTCTTTTTTTTTGTTTTCTAGTTATGCCAAAAACAGACAAAATTCAACCCGTCCAGCCCAATAATAATATTTTAAAAGAATGTAAGTGTTCGCAAAATTTAGTTACTCTTCAGTCCACTTTGTCACGATTCAACTCTGTAACTTCGTCGCTCTTCAACTTGCAGCTCTTGACTTCGTAAGTTTCTTGAAATTGAATCAATTTTGAGCCTGGGTTGTTGTTATTCATCATATTATCATTATTTATCATTTCTGCTTATCTATGGTTACAGCCATCTTTGCACAATCGACATCGCATTATATTGTGTGAACAATTATTCCAATTTAAATTAATTCATTGACATTGGCACATGTGAAGTTAGAAATAGCGATGGCACATGTGAAGGTAGAAAATGGCAACAGCTCATGTGAAGTTTGAAAATGACAGCACACTTTATAACTTGTCAAAAGTTTGCATTTGTGTTCACAACACTAATCCCACCTAATAATATACTCCTCTACCTCCACCTTCTACCTTCACCCTTGACCTTCTGCAGGCACAACGATGTTATTCAAAGTTATTTTATTATATCAGAAAGTGAAAGTTCACTCTAATCGATCTAACCTTTTATTTATTATTAAATTTTATGTGCGATTACATCATCCCATCAGTTTGTCACAATAGATCTTTTTTATCGCTTATCATTTGGACCCAGGTTTATTTCTTATGTTAAAACCGGTTTTAACATAAACCAGTCCTAAACCCTAAACTCTAATCGTACTCTAATCGTTTTAATTACACTGTAACAGGCTTAAACGAGTTTAAGTTCAAATCTGTTAACCAGACCTAAACTTTAATTGTTGTAAATAAGTTGTAATTCGGAAATTTGCCTAAACTCTAATTGGTGTAAATAAGTTGTAATTCGGAAATTTGCCTAAACTCTAATTGGTGTAAATAAGTTGTAATTCGGAAATTTGCCTAAACTCTAATTGGTGTAAATAAGTTGTAATTCGGAAATTTTAGGAATTATGTGCTTGTCTTTTATGTTCAATGATTTTCTGCTCAGAAATATTCGGATTTAAACGTGATTATATAGTTTTCTATTATAATTTAAATTTGGCCGCTTATATCACGTGACGCCAGTTCTGAAGTACATGCACCATGCTAAGAAACAAAGCTTATATGACTAAGTAAAGAGAAGGAAGACACAAAACAACACTCTGTCTCTTAGAAGATTGGAGTTGAGAAGTCGAAACTCAACAAGATATAAAAGAAAACTTAAAAATACAGCAGTTTTTCACTATCTGTAAACAATTTTCTGGGGAAAGCACTTGACTCTGTAGTGTAGATCTGTTGATATAATACAATCATGTATTACATAACAAAAAAAAACAAAACAAATATATTAAGCAATACATAACAAACAAAATGACAAAAACAACAACAATAGAAAAACTAAGTTACATGAAGCACAAAAGAAAAGAATTTTCTAGAACTGAACGAATAGTACAAATCAAAGTAGCTACAAGAATCATAAGAGAAAATCCTATAGATAAAACAGACAACATAGAGGTTGAAGTATATAAGCAAAAGTATAGAAAATACTTCAAAAAAGACACAGAAAAAGAACTAGAAAAAAATATTAGAATTTTATTATATTGTACAAAATTGCTACAGTTCTGCCAAATGTTATAGCACAAGAGCTCTTGATAACTTTTTTACTTGCAGAGGAAAAACAACATACTGAAAAATAGAGTTTCGCATTTGATTTGATTTGATTTGATTCAAATATTTGATTTCAAATCAAATTCAAATATAGATTTTTAAATCAAATCAAATTCAAATTGAAAGATCAAATATTTGATTTGATTTGAAAATATTTATAAACATCTAAAATTTAAAAAGTTATAGTTTCAGAAGCTATTTTCTCAAAAATTTATTAAGACAATTACTAATTTGGTTCTATAAAACTAGGACTTTTTTGATTAGAAAAATATTTTTTATTTAATATACAAAATCGATTTACTTAATAAAATTTTAAGAAAATCAAAAATATTTATAAATAGCTAAAATTTAATGAGTTATAGTTTTAGAAACTATTTTTTCAAAATTTTATTAAAACAATCACTAATTTAGTTTTATAAAACTAGAGTTATTTTAATTAGAAGAATATTTTTTATTTAATATACAAAATTGATTTATTTAATAAAATTTTAAGAAAATTGAAGAATTTTATAAATAGCTAAAATTTAAAGAGTTATAGTTTCAGAGGCTATTTACTCAAAATTTTATTAAGACAATCGCTAATTTGGTTCTATTAAACTAGGGTTATTTTGATTAGAAGAATATTTTTTATTAGTATACAAAATCGATTTACTTAATAAAATTTTAAAAAAATTTGAAAATTTTTATAAATAGCTAAAATTTGAAGAGTTATAGTTTCAGAGGCTATTTTCTTAAAATTTTATTAAGATATTCGCTAATTTGGTTTTATGAAACTAGGGTTATTTTGATTAGTACACAAAATTGATTTACTTAATAAAATTTTAAAAAAATCAAAGATTTTTATAAATAGCTAAAATTTAAAGAGTTATAGTTTCAAAGATTATTTTCTTAAAATTTTATTAAGACAATCACTAATTTGGTTCTATGAAACTAGAGCTATTTTGATTAGAAAAACATTTTTTATTTAATATACAAAATCGATTTACTTAATAAAATTTTAAGAAAATTGAAGATTTTTATAAAATCCAGATTTTTTAAATCAAATCAAATTCAAATCCAGATTTTTAAATCAAATCAAATTCAAATAAGCCTAATATTTGATTTGATTTGATTTTGAAAAACACTACTGAAAAACTAGACAAATGATAGATAAAAAACTTAAATGAGTAGAGAAGAAATAGACAAATCAAGAAAACAAGAAAGCACTACAAGAGCTAGTTAAAAGATTCAAAACCAAAATAAGAAAAATACAAGAAAAATAGTCAAAGAAAAAAAAAACAAGCAAGTATAGTCAATAAAGACAGAAACAAGGAAATTATAGAAAAAGATATAGAGAAAATCAGAATGAAGAAGGCTTTAGAAAAAATCAACAGAGAAATACAATATAAAATAATTAGACAAAACAATCTACAAAATTAGGAGGAATAGAAATTATAGAAAATAGGGCAGAAGTACAAAATATATAATGGGTTTTAGAAAAATTACAAAATAAGCAAAAAGATTAGGATTTAATCATAAGAACTAGCAACAACATAAAAGAAAAATAAATTATCATAGAATCAAACACAAGATTAACTACAGTGAATCAAGAAGAAACTCAAACCTAAAAATAGAAGAAGAAAGAAATTTAAAAAGAAAGAACAAACAAGCCACTTATCGACAACAAGACAGAAATCATTGTAAAAGAAGAAAAAAAGAAAAATATCAAAGCCTCAAAGAAAAAAATGAAAAGAAAAAGAAAAAGAAAACAACACCAAGATGAATAGAAATCTCTTAAAAAAAAGAACCAACAAATCAAAAAAAAAAAAAAGAAAGAAGTACTTGAAAAAAAGAAAAAAGTACAAAGTATAGATATACAAAACATGATACCAAACACCAATAAAAAAGAAAAAGTTCTAGAAAATAAAAGGAAAGAAATAGAAAAGACAAGCAAAAGAAAGAAAGAAAGACAAG